AAAAATTAACAGAATAAATTGAGTGGCTCATGTGATCCAAATGTGAAATGAAAATGTTATTCTTATCCGTGCAATGCGAGACGCCTCTGCCTCAATGACAAGCAATGCCGAAGGCACATGACGTTAAGAATGCCGGACGAGTAATTCCAAAGGAAAGAGTCTAAAACAGGGCAGGTGCAGAGAGAGGTCAGTCATGATCCATAGGCGTGGCAGCAAGCAAAAGATGGAATCCAGAGGGTGGTGCCATCTCCTGAGGCCCGAACACATTAGAAAGTAAGCAGAGTTAATTTCAAATTCATCTTACAGTGAAAATAGGAGAAATTACAAGTCCATTTTCATCATCTGTTCAACCATTTCCAGGGCAAGTAAAACCTTTTCCTGTGGACATTCTATTTTCTTACATTTTTCCACAAATTCGAGAAATTTGCAAGCAAGCATCTGCAGATTTTTATCCATCGTACAATCCTGTTTAACTGGTGTAGCATCAGAGTGGGATTTTGATGGCAGATTTCTATCTTACAAAACTGGGTTTTCAGTCAACAGAGGCGAATTTTCTGACTGTGGCTTCCGTGCTGAATTCAATTTCTTCTTAGTAGAGTTTTCACGAATTTTTGGCCGAAATTCACACAACTTCGACATGGCTATATGGTCCTTTCTCAGTTCGCACAAGTAGGTTTCAATTCTTCAGCAAGTTTGCAGGTGTAGGTCAGGTGGCCCTGTCCACACTTGAGACATCTTGGTATGTTATTACAAAATAACTGATCATGGCTGTAACGCTCGCATCTCAAGCAAATCATGGTGCTTAGTTTACTTCTAAACCGTTGAAACTTGACCCGAAGATCCAGCAATGTTTTCTTTCTATAAATGCTCCTGCATTCGTCATTCCACATGAATGAAGCAAAGAAAACCGGGAGTTTAACTTCTTTGCTGTCAATTTTCCTAGTAAACTGTGACACGCTGAGTACAGGAAATCCATCTCTTTTCAGTTCAGCCTTAATTTCTTCCACAGGTGAGTCCTAAGGCAGCCGTGGATAACCACTTTAAGTGGCGTTTCCTTCTTTGGTCTAAATGTGCTGAACTGCACCTCATCCTTCATTAGCACAGCTAGTGCTCTATCTCTATGATGCATCGAGTTGAAAATCAGAGTAATTTTATCTTTAGTCAGAATACCAACGTAATCCTTATCGCCGTGTTTGGTGAAAAGTCCTTGTAAATCACTCCATTTCACATCCAGCCTGGGGCAGAAAATCGGAGGAAGTCTCTCATTTTTAGAATTAGTCTTATTTGCCGAGTCTTGCGTAAGATCAGTAACTGCTTTATCCAAATTCTCAGCACAATCCACGGGCATAGAAACAGGAACTGTAGCAAGTGCTTCAAAGCTAGTAGCAGCAACGGGAGCCGTCTTGACAGTGAATTTCAACGGTTCTGGAATGGGAGCGGTGAAAATCTTTGCAGCTTTGGTCAGTGTTTTCCACTCTTATCAGACTTGAGAAACAGCTTTCGCTTCCTTTCAGCTTGTCTCCCATGAAATTCGATCATTATCGGAAAACTCTTAAGAAGATGATCTTTATCGGAGAATTGCTGTGCAAAATAGCATTCCTTAACCATAATGGCATAGAAAATCTTCTCAGCTATACGTGGTGCCGATTTCACAGGCTTGCTGTTTCTTAACTGCTCTTGTAAAACATCTACATTATGAAGAGCTTCATACATCGCTTTATTATCAGGATCATCAATTTCATGACCAAACTTTAGAACAATAGCATAAGATTGATCCATGAAGACCGAACGATGCTCATTAGGTATAGCGATATTGCACGAAGCAAAAGCAGGGAAGACTGCAGATGAGATGTGCTGATTCACTGGAGTTGGATTTTTTAATAATGAGAGGAACTGGAGATCAAAGATGACTAAAGAGTCATTACGGAGAAGTCTTCAAAAGAAGGCATCGGCCTGTCTGACAACATAAGATAATGAGGCATATAATATATTTTATTGCCTCTTTTGTACTTATAACTAGTAGAGTTCTGTGAAAAATTTCACAAATACTGCACATTCTGTCTGCCTGGTAGTATAAAGAACAGGATGTTAAAATAATAGCTAAAAATAATTATTAAACTTGCCAAGAGTGAAACTATGTCTGACATTATATAATAATTACATGCTTAATCACAATAAGAATGCTAACGATAATGGTATTGTATTCTGAAAATGCAAGTGTTACATTATGAAAGTACTGTCTCAAATTGTTTCTTTTATGTTGGTAAGTTAGTCAAATAGTTTTTGTTGCTTCACCTTAAAATCTGCATCTTTATTGCATAGATATATATAATATGTATGCTGTAAATAATATGTATAATTATTGAATATAAGAAAAACCATCACAGTTTTTTAGTGTTTTAGAGACAAAGGGGGATTAAGCTTACATTTAAGAAAGCATTATATATATCAGTTTAATATTTCAACAAAATTCGATGAGAAGTATTAGACTAAAGCATCTGAATACTGTAACATAAGATTTTTCTATTCGCTATAAAATAGCAGATATATAAATTGAATGTAAATTCAAAATACTATTTAATATTGATTTCATCTGATATTTTACCATGAACCCAACTGACAGTGCATCTATTTAAAGAATGTGAAGTTTTAGGCTTTTGACAAATATATTGCCATCAAAAATTTAAATATTAATGCAAATCCTTGATTTGAATAACACTGCATTGTTGGCTTAGTATCTATTTAAAATATTGATTTGTGAAATTGCTTAAATGATATCACTTACATAATATGCCCACATAAAATATCTTCACAATATAAAAAACTGCATCTTTCTACTGATAGTATACACCCATATAAAAAAAAAGTATCATTTAATGCCAGACCAATTTATATTTTTCTAGAATTTTCAATTAATATTATTGTCACTTTTTATGAATTTTTTTCCATAATAAGGAATGTTGCCACTTTTTGTAAATGTTGTTTTCATATAAAAAGTACAGCAGTATTTCTATGTTGTTAGATAATACAAAAATCAATTAGGCTTAGTTTCTCCAAATTTCCATCGATTCCTTTAACAGGACTGGGGGGGATGATATTTTGATGCATGCATTTAGGAGAATGGGGGGGGGGAACAGATGTGGATACCACAATTTCCTTGTATGAGTTTTAAATTAAACACTTTCTTTTTTGCTGCACTTCATTTAAACTTGTTTCCTTGAGTTATTTTTAATTAACTGATCCCTCAAAGCATGCTACTGAAAATTTCGAAATTAAATATCCTGATCAATTTTTGTCGTATGGCAGTTAAATTTCTTATAATTTAATTTTTTCATAATGAGTTCAGTAAATTTAATACAGTTTTTTTGAAAAGAGAGTCCTTTATTCTGTCTGTAATATAGACATCATGCAAAAAAATGTCCAAATTAATTCAGAACCGGCCAAAAAATGGATATTTCAGTTGAAATATGATACCTGAAATATTCGCGATACAATATATCCTTTACTTTACAGAAGGAAAATAAGAGAATCAAAATATCAATGTTAAGGCCTAAACTGATTCAAATAACAAAGATTATTTTAGAAAAATAATTTTAAAATATATATAATCGTACTAAATAATTTTCCAAATATAAGTGGTGTAGGAAACAGGTAACCGCATTAAAAGTTAGATTTCACTACCTGTTGACAATTATTATTTTTTTAATTTGACATGCCAAAATATGAATATTTTCATCATTTAAAATGCTTCTGTAATTCATTTCATCACTTCTCTCATTTCCACATCGTCTTTTACGGTTCCAGTTTCTTCTGGAAGCTCGACTTTCACCTATTGGAGCTGGTCTCGGACCTTTTCTTGGCCGACATTTATTTCTTCTTGTTGGGCTTTCTTCTCTTCCAGTCCGGCTTTTCCTCTGCCATGGCTTTCCTCTACAAGCAGGTCACTGGCATTCACTCGCAAATCCCACTTCTGACACCAGTTGTTACGTACTTCCTTCACGTTCGTACGAGGTTTGTGCGGATTTGCAGTGAATAATGACGACACTTGATGATGAAGTATCGAAACACACTTTATTTAGCCAATATTAATCAGGACAGCTCCAAAGACACTTTTTACAGTCATCGAAGATCTACTATACACACGCTGACACAATTAGCGACACAGCCTTCACACTGTCAGGCAATAACGGTGAAGACAGCTTCACTGCAAAGCACCCGAGTACAGCTCCCGACTCTGCTAGGTCGTTCTCCAAACTCCATGTACTCTCAAGACTCTCTACGCTACAACTCGTGATGCACTCAACGACACACAGAGTACAGCTCTTGACTCTTCGGTTCAGTCGTTCCCAGAGCTTAACACATTCTCTCAACAATGCACTAACCACGATACACTAAGAGACTCTTCGGTGCACTCGACGACCAACTCTGCGCTAGACTTCGATACACTCGATCAATGACTGACTATCAGCTTGCTAGACGAGGCATACACTCACTGACTGCGGGCCAGCAGGGTTTATATAGCTTTCGGCTTGTGCTCGAGAACATTCTGGGCTAACCCGGTAAGAATTCGTTCTAGAAGGTTCTCCAACCGTCCATGGTATATTGCCAATTTTGTTGCCAAATGTGGCAACTCTAAACCTGCTTTGTGGGAAAGCTATCTCACCGCGTCTGTACATTTCGTAACAATATATGTTTGGCACTGCTTGCTGGCAGGAAAAAGGGAGGTGCATAAATAGATGTTATAGTAGTTCCATAATAAAAAAATTTCAACAATTTATGGCTATTCATTTTTGAATTATGTGTGATACATACATATATACCTACACACAGACATCATGAAACAAATCCATTTTGATTCAATTTAAATTCATTTTACAGTTTGTTTGAAAAGAGAGTCCTTTATTCTGTCTGTAGATATAGACATCATGCAAAAAAATCGTCCAAATTAATTCAGAACCGGCCAAAATGGATATTTCAGTTGAAATATGATACCTGAAATATTCGCGATTACAATATATCCTTTACTTTACAGAAGGAAATAAAGAGAATCAAAATATCAATGTTAAGCCTAATACTGATTCAAATAACAAAGATTATTTTAGAAAAATAATTTTAAAATATTATATAATCGTAATTAAATAATTTTTAGAAACAGGGATATCTGTATGTGTACATAAAGTATTGATTGACCAGAATGTATACATAAATGGCTACCAATTTAATGACTACAATTTTAACAAATTCATGATAATTTATTAGATATAAATAGTTTTTTAAACAAAATACATCTCACTGACATAAATATTTTTATCAATATATTAAAACAAGTATATACAAGAGACTCATTTTTACGATTTATTAATTTAAATGTGAAAATAAATTAGTAAAATTATATATCATTATTAGCTATTCAGATGCATCTGAATCACTCTTTTCAAATGTAATTTCTGATTCATTATCTGTAGTTTGTAGTTTATATGTCACTTCTTCAATACCATGACTTACATTTGCTTGGAGATTATTTTTCTTTTCCTATAAGAGTATGCTAAAAATTAAAAACACATTTTCATTTTTAAAATCAATCAGTTTTCATATAATATGCTTTAAAGCTTACATCCATAGGTTACAGGATTATTTGGATGTGGCAAAGCATGCCTAAGAGGAGAGTTGCCTTCATGAAGAACTTAAAAGAGAAACTGGCTCATATTAACATTACAGATGGAGAAAGCAGAAAACATTAACCATGCAGCCTCCTATTTGCCTAGGTTCGAATCCAAGTTAAACTCCCAGTATTTAGTGGTTTTAACCATTCGACCATTGGTGAGCTGTATTCCAAAGATGGTTTGTTTACAAAGCAAATCAAAGAATAAATGTTTGAGAAAATAAATACACATGTTATAGTTTTACAAATGTGACTAGAATTTCAGAAAGAACCTTTGAACAAATACATGTAAAAGACAAAACTCTAACTTTCAAAACTCCTTAATCTTTTTCTTAAATAAAAAGTAATTCCTTTTTGCAATTTTAAAATAGTGTCTGTTCATAATTAATTTTTCCAATATATCTTTTCTTTGAATCAGTTCTTTAATTTGATATCTTTGCAAAACAATATTACAAACCATACAAAGTAATACAGTACAAAGTCCGAAATCCGGAATGGTCGGGACTTCGGGGGTTCCGAATAATAGATCATCAATTTAAATCTTGTAAGATGGCATGCAGAAATGATACAATTAAAAATATGAAATCCTAATTTATGAAATAAAGAGCAATTATGATCTAAAGGGTACCAAAATTTACAAAAATAAAAAAAAAAAAAAAAGCTTAATATTTATTTGTTTACTTTTATTAAACATTTCTTTCAATGAAAGTTGTTTAAGATGCTTCCACAAAAAATTCAAAAAGTTCCTTCTTTTTTCTTGTGTCATATACAGTGGACTTTCCAATGCCATACTCCTTGCATAATTTTGAGATGGATATGGCTTTATCCACTTTTTGCAGCAATTCCACTTTTTGTTTAATGGACATCGAAACATGGTTTCGCTTTGTAGATCCTTTGGAAAGTCCATAATTGGAAACTTTTCGACATAATCAAAAGTTCAAGCTTAGTTTTTATAAATTGCCGTAATAATAACAGTCTGCAAAAAAAAAAAAAAAAAAACAATAAGTTGGATCAAATTAGAAGATCAAGGAACAGCGCAGTCTGCTACATGAATTGAAATGCCTTAGAATCAGTAAAGATAATTTTAGTCTAGCTTAATAGCCTCCGTTATACATTATTATCTGTGTATCACAAGATTGGCGACGAAAGCCAAGTTGTTTCGCTAAATTTTGTCTTGCTCCTATTGCATACTGAATTAAGCCTGAATTGTATTTGTTTAGTTATTTACTATACCTACGTTTATTTCTTGCACATACTTCAAACTAATCCGAGTCCTGAATAAACAAACTCCCACATATACTTAACCCCTTAACTGCCGTGGTCATATATATATATATACGCCCTTCCAAACTACTATCATTTGCTTTTCACTGCTACCCGTAAAATTATTCACAAAGCTTTGGAATGCTACACCACAATGATCTTGACAAAGTACGCGAAGGATACTATTTCAGAGAAGTGTGGGGAGAAACTGGAGTGAGGGGTGTGTCTAAAGTGGTGAAAGTAATGACTGCACGGTATTGGCTGGTGTTGTTTGAGTAAAAAGTTTTTTTTTAAAATTCTGTGTCCTCCATTTTTGTTTACTTTTTGTAGTAGGTTCCAGGAATAAAGAAAGATATAACAGATGTTTCAGATCCATTTATCTTTTTTGAATTATTTTTTGATAAACTGTTCATGCTTCATATTGTTACTGAAACTACCCATTTTGTAGATGAGTATATGAACTAACACCTTGCAAATGAAAAATCAAGAACAAAATCATAGCATTCAACCAGTTCAGAAGAAATATATGTTTTTTTTAGGCATACTGATTTCACAAGGTGTAACACTGAGACCTGGTATTACACTTTACTGGTCTAAAAATGAATTGATCGAAACTCCATTTTATTCTTTTTTATTATAAAAACATCATTTTTATTATACTTACGTGTTTTTATTATACTTTTACTCAAAGCATTAAATTTTGTGCATTCATTTTTTCTTTTATTCTTTATTTTGTGAAAGTAAACAGTTTTTAGAAAATAAATCTTGCACTTATTTCCCCCTTAATACATTGCATAACTACCGCACGTCTGTGTGAAAAACCGTGGCACTGGGAAATGAATCTTGTACGTTTTCCACAGCAGTTAAGGGGTTAAGGCTTTATCTAGGGCCGGCGCTCAATACCGCCTGGTGCAGTCTCTATGGGTCCTAAATTCTGCTACAAAGCACTTTCCTAAGTTCTAAATTTTCATCGTGCCTAAACTTGCAGTCTCTATGGGTCCTAAATTCTGCTACAAAGCACTTTCCTAAGTTCTAAATTTTCATCGTGCCTAAACTTTGGATCCCAGTGCTTTCCCTAATTCATAAAAAATTTTCATCCCTTAATTTTGTTGCTCGGTGCTTCCCCAAATTCCAAAAATTTCGTCTTCCCTAAATTCTGCCACCGTTTCTGAGTTTATGGTGAATAACATATCAGTTATTCTTAATTAGAATAGCACTAAATGTAATCTTTTGGCCCATGAGTTTCATTGACAAAATCTATTTTTAGCATATGAAAAAATGTTTTTGGTGAATTTTTCCTCATCTACATTTCTTAGATATTAAAAAATCTATAATCATTGCCAAGCATAAAAGCATGCATTTGTTAGTATAAAAGGTTGCCATACATACTCTTGTTATTCAATTACTAGTATTAAAAAAGTTTAGACATCACAGCATGAGTTATTACTGAAGCTGTCATGTATTGATAAACATGCGGTGATAAAAGCAAAATATAATAAATAATGACTTGATGACTCACCAGGTCGGCATCAGGGATATAAACTAGGTGAATGTTTTGGTTTCAGATGTATGCCAAGTAGATAATCAGCTACGGAGCCAAATTATTAATCTCACAAATTTATGCTTACATGATTGTTTTTCCATAACAAGGTATTTTATCTAGTGCATAAGTCAGTGTTTCTCAACCTTTTAGTATTCATGGCCCAATTTCCAATCATAATTTTCATCGTGCCCCCCCCCACCACATACAATAAAATGTATACAATAATAATGTATTTTGAGTATTTTGGCGCTAAACCTACACTACAACTTTAATTTTAAACTTTACAAATTACCAAGAATACGGAAACTTATTGACATTTTGCGACACCGATCCTCAGCATTGAAAAAACAAGAATCCTATGCCTTTTTATTGCTCTTGCATCCCGCCATGTTGGGCATTCTCACAGTTTCGCGAGAAGTTTCGATTTGTCTGGAATTTGTCTGGTCAGCTTAAAAGTTAAGTTAGAAGCGTGCGTAGATGTGAACAAATGTTTTCTCGTAGGGAGAAGGAGTTCTATGACGCCAATTTCAATTCCAGACAATCTCATTCGAGTCTATCCTTCTATCGCTATTGAATCTATTCTGAATGTGTACGTTATATATATTTTTGTGTAATTGCAATTCACCGTATTAAATATTCACAGCAGCAGATTTATGCAGAATCATGGATAAATTTTCAAGCGGGCATAAGCGAGCATTAGACAATAGACAAGCATCAATAAGTACACAGCAGAGCGTGGTTCCAAAAATAAAATCAAGAAAATATTCTCAAGAATACTTAAATTTTGGTTTCACTAGTACTGAAGTAAATGAAGAAGAAAGACCCATTTGCTCAAAAATGTTGGCTGCAGACAGCATGAAACCTAATAAACTTAAACGAGATTTGAAAATGCTTCATCGTGAGTACGTAAGCAAACCCAGAGAATTCTTCGAATTAAAATTAAAATCATATGAAAAGCAAAAATCATTGTTTAAAAAAAACTTTGTCTGTGAATGAAAAAGCTTTAATTGCCCTTTACAAAGTTTCATATAAAATAGCCAGATGTAAAAGGCCTCACACCATTGGTGAAGAGCTTATTTTGCCAGCCACAATTGAGATTGTAGAAATTATGTTTGGAGATAATTTTGCAAAACAATTGCAGTCTATACCTCTTTCAAATGATACTGCTGCCCGTCGAATTGCTGATATAGCTGAAGATGTAGAGTGTCAGTTTTTGTCGAAGTTATGTAACAAATTGTTTTCAATACAACTCGATGAGGCAACAGAGAGTAATAAAGATGCTCATTTCATTGCTTATGTTAGATTTTGTGATGATTTGTCAGTAGTAGAAGAATTACTTTTCTGCAAACCAATAGAACTCAAAGCAACAACACTTGCATTATTTGCTATCTTAAATGATTTTATGAACGAGGCAAACATAGAATGGAAAAATTGAGTCGGAATATGCACCGATGGTGCTCGTTCTATGTCCGGAAGATTCCAAAGTATTCAAGCACTTGTGAAACAAAAATCGCCACAGTGCGTCTGGACACATTGCATGACCTACAGAGAAGCTTTGGCTTCCAAGGAAATGAGTCCTGGTTTGAATATTGTGTTAACTACGGTTGTAACTGTAGTAAATTATATAAAAATGAGACCCCTGAAATCAAGAATCTTTTCCGCACTTTGTAAAGACATGGGTGCAGTACATTCAGCGTTACTATTTTATTGCAAGGCAAGATGGTTATCACGAGGGAAATTTTTGCAACGTGTTTATAAATTAAGAGAAGAAATCGCTGTTTTCCTAGAAGAGGAAAACAGACTGGAAGCTGAAAATTTTTGCGATATTTTATTTGTGATGAAATTGAGCTACATGGTCGACATATTTGAGAAATTAAATAACTTGAATCTTCAACTGCAAGGAGCAAATACACATATATTGGATACAAGTGATAAAGTTAATGCTTTTTGTAGGAAATTGGAATTGTGGAGTAGAAATTTAAAGCAAGAAAAGTTAATGTTTGCAAGTTTGAATGATTATATTAAAACTTACAAGGCTGAAGAACACAACATGTAAAAGTTGTTTTTGTAACCATTAAAAATCATTTAGCAATGTTAGCAAAGAATTTTAAAAAGTACTTTCTTGCTGACGACAAACTGATATCAAGTTACAAATGGTTGAGGGATCCATTTCAAAATACTCCTGAAGGACTCTCAATTGAAGAGGAAGAAACCTTCATAGACTTCACGGCAAGCGGCGAAACCAAAATACAATTTAGTAATAAATCACTCTTTGAATTTTGGGCAGGAGTGGATGGTGAGTTTTCTGCACTAAAAACAAGGGCATTTCGCATTCTACTACCATTTTCAACATCTTACCTTTGTGAAACTGGATTTTCTGCTGTGGCTTCTTTGAAGACAAAATATATAGATCTCAGCTAAATATAGAAAAAGAACTGAGAGTGTCTATTTCTAATATTAAACCCTCCTTCCAAAAACTTTGCTCTGCAAGACAGGCCCAAGAAAGTCACTAATAATTATTAAATTTGTTTTTAATTTAGTAAGTTGTTTTAATTTAATAATTATTAAACATAATATTAATAATTATTAAACATGCCAAAATGTATTTTGTTTTGTATGTGTGTTCTTTCCTTTCAGTCACTTAATCAATTTTTTTAAATAACATTTTCTCTTGGATATGCTCGCGCCCTCCCATTAGTGTGCTCGCCTTCCCCTAGGGGGGTGCGCCCCAAGAGTTGAGAATTACTGGCATAAATGAAATTAATAATCATTATTTTTAAGTGAAAATCTCCATATGTTTTATTATGGAAGGAAAAATCAAATGTGCATGCGTAAAGCATTAATAAAAAAAATGTTTGTGGCTTTGAGGTCCGGATTTTAAATCATTCCGGATAATGGACGTCCAGATTTTGGACTTTTGTACTGTATAAGATTTAATAAGTAAAAATCACATCTCATGCAAAATCAGAGCAATACCTTTGTATAATATATTTTTTGAATCAAAACTTTTAATTGCAAACAAACCAATAACCCTTTAATGAAAAGATAATTCTATAATCCCAAAAAGCTTTTAATAAAATAACAGAGAGAAATAAAGCAACTTTTGCATTAAAAACTCAAGAAATAAATATCATTTTTTCTTTTTCCTTCTTCTAACTCCAATTAGAATGAGGCAAATTTATATTTTCTACATTTTGTAATTTTCTAATATAAGAAATAAAAATATTAATGAATTATAATGATTAATCATACATATTAAGATATTCAGTGACATTTTGAATAAAACACAGTAAACAAGAATACGTCATAAAATTTTTAGATGCCTTTTATAATAAACAAACAATTCTTTAATTTTTTTTTTAATATTGCCAATATTTTTGTAAACGTATTTGATTATCACTTGCTATTATCAGATTTTTGAAACTTTTTTTTTTTTTTTTTTTTAATATTTGGGAAATGTAATTTTTGCATTTATGAAACAGATGAGCATAAATGTGAAGTTTACTAATATTAATAACTAAAGATGAAGATTTGTTTATGAATACTTTTGGTTCGTGGTTTGAGACTTTTGTTTTTTTGGGAGGACAAATAGATAGAGATACACTCTTGGTATTACACACTTGAGTATAGTTTTTCTAAAGGAATCCTTTGAAAATGAAATTCCGTTCTGTAAAATACAGGTTAAAATGGTTTCGTTTTTGAGTTTGCCTTTGCAATCACCATTATCTTCTGCAGTCAGTCACATGATATAAAGCGCTTTTCAGTATCAAAGTGGTGATCATTTTGGGGATAAGACAATATATTTTGCCAAAAGAGAATAAGGAAGTCAATCAGAAGCACCAAATGATATTCATGACAGCAACAGAGAAGAGTTTAAATAAAATATGTACATTTAACACAACAAATGAATACTGTATGTGTACTATTTAACATAACAAATGAATACTGTAAGCATATTTTCAGATTATTTTGTCAAACTGCAGCGTCAAGCGCATTCTTAAAACATCATTCAGTTATAAGAATTTTACAAAGACAGCTATTCAAAATCTTTATAGCCCTTAATTAGTGTGCATGTTAAGAGATTTTTTAAACCTATTTTATCATAGTTATAAATAGAAGACAAATATTCGAGAAAGAGAATACTGAGAATATAGTGATGTTAGTTTTTAATACCCCCATATTATTGCAGTAATTTGATTATAGTAGGCTTGAAAAATAAGATTTGTCTCTCTCTCTCTCTTATTTATTTATTTGTTTACTAATTTTTGAATAAATGCAAAATTTTTCTTTTTGACTTTTTATTTTTGAGAAATTTCCATTTTTTCAATGTGAAAATTACATATCCCAAGGAACAGAATAATATTTATTCCATGAATGCTATAAAAGCACAAATTCAGTTACCAAGTGGTTAATAATGACAATTTTGTTTTATTTAGACATACAACATGGCAGCAATCTGTATATTTTCATTATATTATTCTGCTTTGTATTCAGATTCACATTTTTCCTTATTTTTTACAATAGTTTTCTGAATCATAATTTGATTTAATATTAAAATTTATTAAACTGCATATCTAGTTTTAAAAGCTCAGATATTTTAAAACATCCTTATATTAATTTGGAAGACTGATCTGTTTTAATCCCAATATAATATTAATATAAATCAAATTTAGAATTACTTAGCTGTTTCAAATAGACTTACTTTTTTTGATTGTCGCTCTACAAGAAGAAGTTGTTTTGACACTCGTTTCATCATTTCTTGAAGTTCCTTTTCATATTCATGCTCTCTATCTATCTGAGAAACTCTAAAAAACCATCACAGTTGTTATCATTTGATAAAACAGTTTTTACCAACTGCTGAAAATGTTAACAAGAATATAAATATTTCATTACTTATACAGTTTGAAGACTGTCATCGATGTTTTCTATTTAAGATATGCAATATACTCTGTATCAAAGAGAACATTTATAGGAAATTAAAATATTCACCTACCTATGTATGCTGTGATTGTACATTCAACTAACAAACAGGAAAGCTTGTGGCTTGAATTTTGGTAAGGGCAAATATAATTTCTCATGTTCCCTGGTTTGAAATGTCTGATAATCACTATAGTGCAACCCAAGCTAAAATATAGTGGACAATAAATAGTTACCACCTGGATACGGTCAGCTGCATCTCATGTCTCTTCCCAGTCACCCTTTTGGTGAAGGAGAATAGTAAAATTTATCGTGTCCCCAGCTAGCATATTCTCATGGTACATTCATCTAGCAAACTGAAAAATCTATGGTTTGAATCTTAGTGAGGCCACAGTTGATTTATCATGTTTTGCGATTTTATAAAAATCTAATGGTCTCTGCATATTGCAAAATACATTTCAGATATGCAATGGTATAAAGATTTGTTATCTAGGGGTTGGGTTCATGAACCTTGAGTAAACTGAAGCAGAAAAATAATAATATATTTAAAAATACCCAATTCTAGTTATCATGATAAAATATTTGATAAATGTCTTATTTTATGAAATTTATGCTATGAAAATTTTTTAAAGTTTTATTAAAGGAATTTAATAATTTTATTAAAAATAGCTATCTGTCTATTTGTTTTCTTTCCTTTTTTCCTCCTGAAAACCTATATACATAGTAAGTGAGGCAAAGTTTTCAGTCCAAAAATTCAATGGTGAGTTTTCAGAGAATAAACACGAATTAAGATCCCATTAACACATATTTACTATTTTTAGAATGATGCATGTGTGTGTGCGATGATTTTTTTCACCCACAATAACACTTATATGAAACTTTAAAAAAATTCTGTTTTCGGCAGTTAAGTTTTCTATATTCATGTAAAGTGCTGATTAGATTTTGGATAAAAGTGGAAACCAGAAGTGGTATTTTAAAGGAAGTCCATCACAGTTTTTAATGGATAACCGGAAATGGTGCTCTACTTGAAGCCCATAACAGTTTTTCATAAAAAAAAAATATATATATATATTATAATATACCGTATTTGACGGCATAGAAGACACACTGGCATATAAGACACACCCTTATTTAGAAGGCCACACACATGTAGATGTAGAAAAAGTTATGTGGACTAAAAATAGCATTCAGTATTGAAAGTTAACCCATGTCCTTCACGTATAAGAAGCAGGTAACTTTTTTGAGACCAAATTTAGGAAAAAAAGTGCATCTTATATGCCGTCAAATACAGTAATTCAAAACTTTTCAATTTTAGTACTTCAGACTTTTATATCAACGGTTACAACATATTATATTTTGGCTAAACCTGATAAAGTGGAAGTGATACTTTACTTGAAGCTCCAAATAGACTTTTGTAAAATAATATATTATGAGATAATTTAAAGCTTCTCAAATTTGGTGTTTAAAATAGGCATGTAATTGAGAACAACATATTACATTTATAGGCATTAAATGTATACTTGGAATTATGGTAAATGTAATAAGCTTATTATGGAGACGAGTTCTCATTATGAAACAATTAAATATATTAGCCTCATTTCTCAATTTTCTGTCCATTTTACTTTTGTATCAAATCGCTTTTCAAATAAAAGGATGCTGCCAACAAATGTTATCTCTGTAGTATTATCAAAGAAATAATATAGCAAATATAAATTATTATATATTAATTATAAATATAATTAATGAATATAAATTATGATATATTAATTATAAATATAATTAATGAATATAAAAATTTATGGCAAAAATTCACACTTTATTAAGAATTCAAAAGATATGCCCTTTTAGAAATTTTGTAATCATTAAATTATTAACCTGTGAATCCAAAACAATATAGACCAGAGGATATACTGTTATGAATGCTTAAATCAAAGCATAATGACTGATGTATTAGATCAGCACATATAGTTATCGTTGCCTATTGTATGGGAGAAAAGAATAATAAAAAAATGAGTATTGTTTAAGACTAACACTGAGTCAAAAACTTATATAAAAATAACAATTTACTTACAAATGATCAACCAGAAGTGATAGTTTACTTAAAGATTATTCTATTCCACTAATTCCATGTCTTAACATGGAACTGGTGGGAAGTCATATGATGGGCACATCAGATTTTTGATAATAACAGATTATATTAGAATTCTCTCAGTTTCTCTCTTAACAACTGAACATTGCTTCCACCTGAAGCTGATTTTACAGTAAATCTCATAGTCTCCTTTTTTGATAAAAAATAATATTCTTTTCCACTGATTATGTTATTAATGTTAAAATCTGTTTTATTTCCCCCCTATAAGATATTAAGGTAACCTTTCCCCCCTATTAAGATAACCTTTCATTTCACTATTCTAAAAATTTTCACTGAAAATCATCAACATGATTCATTAGCAGTTCATTTATGTCATCAACTTTAAAAGAATCTAGTCTTCACTATCTTTCTTATAATTGAAACAAGCAGTGCACATCCAATTAAAATTGTACTTAAGTTAAAATTAAAAAAAAAAAAAAAAATATTAGAACACTATTTTAGCGTTCTATAAAAGTTTGTGTTGCAGACCAAATTTTTAATCAAGAACCCCCCCCCCCAGGTAAATGCTGTCCCCGCTGTTACCAATCTTAAAATCTGGTCATCTTAATACAGTCAAAAGTCTTTAATCCGGACGTCCATAATCCGGAATGATCTATAATCCAGACCTCAAAGCTACAAATTTTCTGTGCATGCATTAACACATTATGCATTGACGCAAGCGCATAATACCTTTACGCATGCGCATATGCGTTTACGCATGCGCATAATACTTTTACGCATGCGTGTTTAATGTATAACGGATGGTATAAGCTAAGCTAAAATTATCTAATTATCTATTTCAGTTAATGTTGCAGATTGTGTTGTTCCTTAATCTTCTAATTGGATCTTAATCTTCTAATCTAAATAGCTTCTAATTTTTTGCAGACTGTTAGAGCAATTTTATAAAAGTAAGCTTGAACTTTCGATTATGTCAAAAAGAGTTTCCGATTCTGGAGCTGCCAAAGGATATACAAAGCGAAAGTATGTTACGATGTTCATCAAACAAAAAATTGAATTGCTGCAAAAAATGGGTAAAGGCATATCCTTTATTTCTCTAACCATTCCGAAATCTGTTTATCAATTTCACGCTGCTCTGCAGGGGTGGGAAACGTTGCGGCATGCAATAAACTTGAAGTTGATCTGTTAGCACTATCCTTATCTTCAGGGCAGATGTTTTTATTTTATTAGCCTTATAATTCCTTACTAAATTTAGTATTTCATCTTGATGTACTCTGGTATGATTTAAATCAAATTCCTCGTCATCACTAAATATCACGAATACACATCAAATAGTTTTCTGGGTGCAATTTTCTAATTTCGATTATGCGTAATGTATGCTTTAAGCATGCACACATTGAAAGAAATATTTAATAAAGTAAACAAATAAATATTAAGCTTCTTTTTTTTTGTAAATTTTGATACCCTTTAGATCATAATTGCTCTTTATTTCATAAATTACGGTTTCATATTTTTAATTTTACAATTTCTGCATGCCATCTTACTAAATCTAAACTGATGATCTATAATCCGGAAACGCCAAATTCCCAACGAGTCCGGCTTAAAGACTTTTTGACTTTTGACAAATTATGCATAATACATAATTTGTGACAATATCTAAATGAGATAAAATCCATTATTTCTTATAATGTTCATTAAGATACATTTAATCCACAGAAATAAATGCATGAAAAAATCATAAGAAATATATTTCTTATACTCACCTAAAGCTCTGGACTTTTGCTTCAATTTCCTTTCTAAAATCAGATGTCATATCAAAGTTTTTAAGCCTGGCTTGAATATTTTTTTGAATTTGTTTTAGTTTTTTAGTAGCTTCTTCTTCAGAATGCACTTCCTCTTCATGCATCCTTTCTCTAGCAATTATTTCTTCTCTTAAAAAAAAAAAAAAAAAAAAGAAGGTACAAATTCAAAATTTTTACTTCAATATTTTACAACTTAAAATTGCAGAATGGAAACATTTCAGTACTTATGACGTAAACTGTAAGTAATTCATAGAATGTTTAAAAATGTTTTGTTAAAATAAAATATAATACATTATGCATTTAAAATTATATTTATAACTGTTATACATTTTACCATTCACAGGCAACCTTAGATTTTAGAGACTCATTTTTAACAGGTACAGATAACATGCACTATAATTTCTTACTATATCTGAAAGATCCATCTCTAAATCAAAGTGCCAAGGTCATACAGACATCTGCTTTTTGAAAACTTTTTTATAACTCATCCTAAATAGACCATAAATTCAATTAGGTTATTTATAACCATAAATTAAATTTTTTATTCTTTCATCCTATTTTGTTACATTTGCACATTTAAAACCCACCTGAATTGCAGAATAATACATTATTTACATATTTTTATTGTCATAATGGATTTATTTCATATTATGACTACAGTCAAAAGTCGTTAATTCGGACACCCATAATCCGGACCTCAAAGCTACAAACTTTTCTGCGCATGCGTCGCGTTTGACGCATACGTAAGACCTTTATCCGCTGCGAGATTTTGCGCAAAATTATGTTTACGAATGCGCGTTTAATGTACAACGGACGGGATAAGCTAAGCTAAAATTATCTATTTCAGTTAATGTTGCAGATTGCGTTGTTCCTTAATCTTCGAATGGATCAGGATTATTATTTTTGCAGACTGTTAAAGCAATTTTATAAAAGTAAGCTTGAGCTTTCGATTATGTCAAATAGAATTTCCGATATATATTTACTAATATGTAAAGGATCTACAAAGGGAAAGTATCTTTCGGAGTCCATTAAACAAAAAGTGGAACTGCTGCAAAAAATGGATAAAGGCATACTCTTTGTTTATCTAAACTTTAACGTTTGTTTATCTTTAACGCCGCAGCGGTGGCGTGCAATGAATTGGAAGTTGATCTGTCAGCACTATCCTTATCTTAAGGGCAGATGTTTTTATTTTATTTCGCTTATAATTGCTTACTCAAAGTAGTATTTCATCTCGATGTACTCCGTCTTTGATATGATTTGAATCAAATGCCTCCTCATTATAATTCGCTTCCGATAGCGAAGAAAGTGACAGAGGTTATTGAAAGCGAAAAAATTTCGATTGACAAATTAGTCGGTATTCTCAACACAGCAATTATAGGACTTGAACAGCAGAAACTTTATAATGAACAAGAAATTAGTCTGTTTATAGAATTAAAGAGAAAGTATTATCACATGAAACAAAGCGACTAAATGAAGAAAATGTTTATAAAGTAAACAAATAAATATTAAGCTTTTTCTTTTTGTAAATTTGAGACCCTTTAGATCCATAATGTTCTTTTTCGTAAATTACGGTTCATATTTTTAATTTTATAATTTCTGCATGCCATTTTACCAGATTTAAACTGATGATCTATAATCCGGAATCGCCGAAGTCCCGACGAGTCCAGATTAACGACTTTTGACTATATTTCCAATTTTTAGCAGTGTTTTATTCCTTAATTTGTTAAAAAAGCTAAGCGGACCTTACGGCAAATATATTTAAACGTTCAGAACTCATTACTTAAAGGAATTATTCCAAATTATTCATCCACTTTATTTTCACATTGCTACAATTTTCATTTATGAAAGAGGCATTTCTCACATGAAATATTTCAAATACTGTAATATTACTGCAAACATTCCTTAAAACTGCTGTTTAGTTGTGAGAAGCGTTTTCTAAATAAAATTATTTAAGAACTACAAATGTTCATTCTGCACTTAAGAAATCCTTTGATACTGATGCACGCACGTCTCTCTCTCTCACACACGCCGCACGGACTTTTTTTTTAAGGTATTAATTTGTATGCCAAGAGGAATGGTAAATTCACAGACTGCCCTAGGTGGCATAAGCTCTAGTTACCAAATAATAAAAATTGCCTGGAAGTGACTGTGGTCATCACAAGGAAGTTTCATGTACAAAGATAATACAATATAATGAACTTAAGCAAAATTTTATCAAAGTTTTCTTGTTCAAATGATCATTTACTTTACTCATTGGAATATTTGGTCAGTCTAATAAGCTTCTGAAGTGTATAATGTAGATTTTCAGGGATAGCTTCTTCTAATAAGACCTTGTTTACAGTGGATGGTTACTAAAATGAATATCATTTTCGAAGCTGAAATTTGAACGTTTAAACTGCCTTGAAACTGTGTCATCATAAACAGTGCTTCTTTTGCATGTAATACAAATTTTATAAACAGTCTGACTAGCATTTTTTCTTTTTCTTTATTAAAAAAAAAAAAAAAAAAAAAAACATAACACGATTGATGAAAATCAATTTCTGAGTTCTTCATTCTTCACAACAATACATAGCAAATTACATAACACAGGCAAGAATTAAGCACTATGACGAGAAAAGCCCATATTTAAAAACCCGCTTCAATTCAGATCATATGTCTCATATATATACATATATATGTAGTATATATATATGTCTCATATATATACATATGTATATGAGACATATATATACATATATATGTATATATATATATATATTCAACGAAGAATCTATATGAAAAATTTTTGAAAGCGTGATTCATAATAGCCTACAAAATGTTCTTGTTCTTGACTACTGTGCTATGATCAATCTGGATTCAGAAAAGATCATTTAGCGGTCCATCATATCCTTAACAGTATCAAAAAAGTTGGCAAAGCATTCACTAAAAATGATGCTGTCACTGCCTGCTTTATTGATGTTGAAAAAACATTTGATAAAGTAATTTGATAGAGTAATTTTCCTGCGTTCCATCATTAAAATTATTTCATATATAATTCTTAGCTGCTACTGAAAAAGGTATTTATTTACTTTAATTTATCACTAAATTAAAAAAAAAAATTCATATGCATTTTAAGTTTGATATAGCTTTAAACATATTGACCACGTTACTACAATAATAGCAAAACTGCTATTATTTCATATTTTTAATTGTATCATTTCTGCATGCCATCTTACCAAATTTAAATTGATGATCTATAATCTGGAATCGCCAAAGTCCTGACGAGTCCAGATAACAGACTTTGTAGTGTACTTGGATTAAAATTAAATAATGACACTATGAATTTCACATTTACTAACATAGTTTTATATTATTCACATATACAAACAATTTTATTTTTATTAATTACATCTTTATAAAAATAATAATTAATATTTAAACTGAAAAAAATAAACAGGTTAAAAAATTTAATACTTTCTAATTTAAAGTTTGTACGATTTAAAAAATAGCAAAACAGTAGTATATAATAATAATAATTTAGCTACTAAGTGAACTAATTAAAAGATAAAATTTTAATACATTTCTGATGTTAACTTTGTGAACAAATTCATAAAGTCCATCTTCTTCAGGCTGGTATTACACACTGCACATCATATACTACCTTGTACCTCAGTGGTCAAGCTTATTACCTTTTTTTTTCTGTTTAAGACCAACTTCTTAAGCTAAATTAATAGGAAAATTTCTGTTCTAAGATTATAAAAATAATCATCGTAATCGTTATCAGCTTACATATTAAAAGCCTACATTTAAAAATAAGATTTCGGGAGAGGGAATTTCAGTTTTACAACAGATTTCATAGACCTCATCCGATATTTCTTCCACTGATTTGCACAAAGTCATTAAAACTATTAAAATTCTCAAGCAATGAAATGCACCAGGTTATAACAATATAAATAATAAATCCCTCAAGATGCTACCTAAATACCATGGTTAAAATATTGAATACTTGTTTTGATATAAACTATTATTCTAAAAACTGGAAACTTGCAACTATCATTCTATTTAAAATAGAAGGAAAAATTTTTAAATTACGTGAAAGTTACAGACCAATCAGCCTTTTCTAATCTATATGAAAAATTTTTGAAAGCGTGATTCATAATAGACTACAAAATGTTCTTGTTCTTGACTACTGTGCTATGATCAATCTGGATTCAGAAAAGATCATTTAGCGGTCCATCATATCCTTAACAGTATCAAAAAAGTTGGCAAAGCATTCACTAAAAATGATGCTGTCACTGCCTGCTTTATTGATGTTGAAAAAACATTTGATAAAGTATGACACAACAGCACACATTCTTCTGAAAAACCCATCAAAAATGGTATTCCGGTTCAATGTTCCCCCCTACGATATTAACATCTTCATAAATGACCCCTCAAGACAATAAAATTTTTAAATATATAGATGATACCACTGTTATGACCTGCTCAATGAATCCAATTAATGCATTCAACAAACTGCCAAAATATCATCTAACATGGGTTTAAAATTTGGTAGATTAAAATAAATCCTGCCAAATGCTGCACTGTCATCTTAAGAAGAAACAAAACTGATGTTACTATTCCCAGAAATATCATCATTAATAACTGAAATTCATACAGTAAATGAAGTCTAATATCTTAGCATTATCATGGATAGCAAATTAACTTTCAATAGCCCTGCTAATAAAGTTATTAAGAAAACAAAAACGGTGTTCATGATTATTTACCCAGTAATGCATAGAAACTCCAAGCTTTCAGTGGAAAATAAACGTAAATATATATTTAAAAATGCTATTGCTACATGGTCCAATATTACCCAAACTCAAAAAATTTCAAGTGCTTCAGAATAAAATTTTACATCATATTCTTAAAGCTTCATAGTTTCTGACCAACGAACAGATTCATATTAACTTCAAAACTGATTCCATAGATAGCTACATTTCTACCATGCATAATTTTTGAAATCATCAATAGCTCATCTTTCAACACTTACCCATATTTGATGGCATATAAGACGCACCCTTATTTAGACGGCCACACACAAGCGAAAAAAGTTTCAATAGCGTGGTTTCTTTTAGTTCTCACGTTTTGTCAAAGCCAAATAAACAATTATTGAATGCAATTACCTTCACATATAAGACGCAGGTAACTTTTTTGAAACCAAATTTAGGAAAAAAAGTGCGTCTCATATGCCGTCAAATACGGTATTAGAAACCTTTCAAATCCTTTTCCATTTTGCAGACTGTTAGAACAATTTTATAAAAATTAAGCTTGAACTTTCGATTATGTCAAAAAGAGTTTCCTATTCTGGAGCTGCCAAAGGATCTACAAAGCGAAAGCATGTTTCGATGTCCATTAAACAAAAAGTGGAATTACTGCAAAAAATAGATAAAAGCCTATCCGTAAGTATGGCAAAGTTCACTATATATGACACAAGAAAAAGGAACTTTTTGAATTTTTTGTGGAAGCATCTTAAACAACTTACATTGAAAGAAAGTTTAATAAAGTAAGGAAATAAATATCAAGCTTTTTTTTTTTTGTAAATTTTGATACCCTTTAGATCATAATTGTTCTTTAAACTGTCTTGAAACTGTGTCATCAGAAACAGTGCTTCTTTTGCATGTAATACAAATTTTATAAACAGTCTGACTAGCATTTTTTCTTCATTTCAAAAAAAAAAAAAAAAAAAAAGCATAACACGATTGATGAAAATCAATTTCGAGTTCTTCATTCTTCACAAAAATACATAGCAAACTACATAATACAGGCAAGAATTAAGCACTATGAAGAGAAAAGCCCATATTTAAAAACCTGCTTCAATTCAGATCATATGTCTCATATATATATTCAACGAAGAATTTTTTAAGAGTAATTTTCCCGCGTTCCATCATTAAAATTATTTCATATATAATTCTTAGCTGCTACTGAAAAAGGTATTTATTTACTTTAATTTATCACTAAATTAAAAAAAAAAAAAAAAAAAAAAAAAAAAAAAAAATTCATATGCATTTTAAGTTTGATATAGCTTTAAACATACTGACCACGTTACTACAATAATAGCAACACTGCTATTATTTCATATTTTTAATTGTATCATTTCTACATGCCATCTTACCAAATTTAAATTGATGATCTATAATCCAGAATCGCCGAAGTCCCGACAAGTCCGGATTACAGATTTTGTACTGTACTTGGATTCTCATTTTGACTTTGAAATGTGCACTACCTTCCTCAATTAAATTCCATTTAATGGAAATTAAAATTTTGTAGAAGCTTACAGCTCCAAGAAGTCGATGTGATTTAGCCTCATCCAATTATGAAATTCCACCAAACATGAAAGTTGGCGGAGATGTAGCCATTCATTCTTAATTTAGTTAGATAAAAAAGAGAAAAAAATGATGGATAGAGCATTTAAAAAAATTAAATGTTTTAATTCTTCTTGTTCCGTCACACTGTTTATCTGCTTTCAAAGCTGTGTATCATCGCTTTTTTGATGCCTGGAACTTTAAACTTGGTTAACTTTGAAAACAGTTCCAAATATTAATCTTTTTTTTTTTCAAAATGAGAGGGGAAAATATAACTTATATCCTTCTTAATAAAAATTAAACTGTGTTATTGAGAATAAATTTAATTTAAATTAACCCAAAACAAACTTTTTATGACTGTGTAATGACATTATGCTTATCCATTACTGACACTAAATCACACCGTCTGACGATAACATATACAGAGTGTTTCGTTACTAGACCGACAAACTTGCAGGGTGTGTAAGGGGTACAGAGAGAACTCGGAATCACATAGGAATGCAGGGTCACAAATGTCATAGTTGCGAGCTATGGTGCAAAGAAGCAGAGAGAAAGAACAGAAACAGCAACATATTAATGGCACAGAAAACATTTTATTAAGAGGTTATACTACAATTTGCATTCAAAATTACGACTCAAATTCGTTTGGCAGACCTGACAGCGGTGTTGCATGGAATTTCTTATGTTATGAAAGCTTCTTGGCATGTCGCATATCCTCCCGTCTGCTACAGATATTCGAGTGAAAAGGAATGTGCCTCTCATATACCAAACTCTTCATGTGATCCCAGAAGAAGAGGTCCATGCATGATAGGTCTGGTGATCAGGTAGGCCAATGAACCAAACCAGTATGACCTATCCACCCCTGTCCAAAGGTTATATCGAAGTGTCGGCGGATGTCAGTCGTGTAATGTGGAGGAGCCCCATCATGCTGGTACCACATGGAGCGACATAACAATGGAGGAACATGTGCTGTGTCAAGAAGTTCGGGCAGGGCTTGTTGCAAGTAGATCAGGTATATATGTATATATACACATACACACATATATATATATGGCCCTACCGGCCAAAGAACTGGGCAGAAGGTATGGTCCAATGAGGCAGTCTCGAAGATTGCCAGCTCTAACATTGACCAAGAAACGCTCTTAAGCTGTACGTGGTTGCGTACGATGTGGGTTCTAGGCGTTATGCTGATTGAAAGTTCCCTTGTGTGATGTATGCTTCAACCGTGAACAATATGGAGGCAGCAAATGGGCTGTCTGTAGCACCGTGTTGCAGAACTATGTAGCACATATCCTTTGGAGTGGATAATCCTCAGATTTTAATAACGGGAAGTGATGAAGATGGTATGAAACCTTCTGTTCAGTGCTATCTACTGCAAGACTGCCGGGAAGAATCTTCTAGAACATGAGGAATTCCATGCAGTGCCACTGTTCGGCCTGCCTAACGACTTCTGGTCATAATTTGGAATGCGTGCTGTAGTACAACCTCTCAATAAAATGTTTTCTGTCCCATTAATGTGTTGCTGTTTCTATTCCTTTTCTCTGCTTCTTTGCAGCAAAGCTCGTTACTATGGCATTTGTGACCCTGCATTAATATGTCATTCCAAGTTGTCTCTGTAACCCCTACACAATCTGCAAGATTGTCGGTCTGGTAGCGAATCACCCTTATGTGTTAATAGTATTATGGGCTTTATGATGTCATTACAGACCTCTCATTTATTATATTTTTTCTAAAATAGATTTAATCCTACTATATAGAAACTCAATATGATTATGTGAAGAGAATAAAATTTCTAAAAATGACATAATGTACATATATTCTATAACCAATCAGTGAGCCAATAAAAGTCCAAAGTTAAATCGTATTTTGGTTTAATCCTAGTATACCGTGCACACAAGATTTGACGACATGATCAGCAGTAAATGAGTGCTTCTGGTGTTGGTGGCCTTACCGTATACTAGGATTTTGCATGTATTTTAATAATTAACAGCCATAAATATTTAAAACACAAGACTTATAAATATTAAAATGCAAAATTTAAATGTGTATTTTTAAAATACTGTGTTATTTTAAAAATAATGTTAATTTCCATTAAAATGTGTTATTTTAAAAATAAAATGATGTCATTCATTATACCATCCACAGCATAAAATTATTTAAAATATCATTAATAATAAAATCAATAATTCAAATAAAATTGCAAAATTAAATTAATTTTCAATATTTAATAGCCATAAATAATTTTTAAAACACATTATCTTTTAAATAAAATATCAAACAGTACAGAGGACGAACTATGGGTTCCCATAAATCGATGTTTCAGCAATGGGTGCCATTGTGCCAACAAATGCACCAAATAACTGTACACCCATCTGTACATCCAAAGTAGCACTGAAGATTATGCTATAATTCTCATGAACTTCTAACATCAAAATTGGCATATATGTCTTATATAAAATAAAGATCATAAAATTCTTTATGAATTAGTATGGGATAAAAATAACAATGAAATCTCTCATTTGATCTCAAGTATTTTAGGCATTCATATGGTCAAAAATATATAAATGACCTGTAAATATTTTGATTGTAAAAAAAAAAAAAAAAAAAAAAAAAAAGGCGAATATCATAATGCAAATAAATTTTGATACTTCCTAGTTAAAGCAGAAATTGTCTTTGATGACATTTGAAATTTGCATACTATAGGATAGGGGATTAAGTGTCCGATTCTGGTGATTAGGTGCTTTAAAACAAGGAAGTCTCTAAATATTTAAACAAGACAAAAAATATTAAATCCAATATTTTCAAGACTGCCAACTCTATTTACTCAATCTTTAAATTCAGACAATATAGAAGAATCTCAGTTTTATCAGTCATAAATAAGACCATTATAAAAGCTGAGCTTGATATTGTACTTTTCAATTACACAAGAGTGATAATCATCAAATCCAAAACACATAGTATTAATATATACTCCATACATAAAGTATCATGTTTTTATTAAAAAAAGTAATATAACAAAAAATAAGTTTCTTTTTAAAAATTATAATTACATGAAAAAATAAAAGCTCTATTTCTGAAAATATAACATGCAAACATTATCAAACCCATTTTTTAAAATCCTGCACAGGATAATGAACTGGTATAATGACTATGGTATAATGACTGGCAGAACCTCTTTTAAATTAGAATGTTACCTAATACGACTCTTTCGTAATACAGCAGCTGTTGACATACGAACAGGAAAATAGGAAAACGGCAGTGTTTGAATGGGCTTAACACGTTTTTTCTCACTTAAAATTTCTGCAATACTTTTCTCTTCTTGAGGACAGTGCAAGTTTTTTACTTTTGCATTCCAGTTTTCCATTGTTTCTTTGCACTTTTTTGTATACAATCTTTTGGTAATTGCAGCAATATTTTTTACTTTATCTTCTTTTCGATTATTTTCTGATGGAGAATGATTTAAATTATGAGCGGAATGAGATCGTGGAATAATTTTAGGAGAAAATGGGAGTTTTGAATTTTTTAAACTTTCCTCTGCTCGATGAGCAATCAGTATCTTTCGAATTTCTTCTTTGTTTTTAAGATTTTCAGAGATTTTGCTACTTATTATATTTTGAGGCAAAGGTTTTGCTTTGAAATATTCTCTGGGTTCAGTAATAGTTAAATCACATAAAGATTTTGCCTTAGAAGAGGCACTGAAGTTGAAAGGCTTTATCAAATTTTTAGTTACTTCAATGCATTTTACTTTTCGCTCTATTTTTCTTTTCTCATTTCTTTTGACCATCTCGCCATATAATGGCAAATGTGTGCTCTTAGGAACTGGTTTAGTATGTATTTTCACTTTTAATTCTTTTTCAGCTTCATAATTTAATTGTTCTTTTAACTTGGAAATTTTACGTTCTTTAGCCACCACCCGTTCAGTATCTTCAAAGCTAAGAGAAAATGGTTGAGGAACAGTGACTTTCAGTTCTGGTCTCAATAAACATTTACTTAGATTTCGATCATTTAAACATCGTTCTATATTATAATCTTTAAGCTTAAATGAACTGCTTTGTTCATAGTGTTTCTGAAATGGAATTTCATTACATTTATATAAAACAGACTGAGAGGTAACTCTCTCACAACAGCAACAAGTGTTTCCTAAAATACTACATGATTTAAGGCAGTGATTATGCTTACATTTTGTGTCATTAGAACTGAAGGAATTATTCTCATCAGAAACTGAATCATGCATCGACGAATTATTTGGAGCCATTATTTCTTCATACAGTGATTGAATCTGCTTTAAAGCTTTATTTGCAGTAACTTCAAGATTCCGAATATCCTCTGTCTTGTCTCTGCTACTTACAGGGACAGAAAATGCAGAAATCTCTGAACAGAATTCCATACAGATCAAATTCTCAGCCTGAGTCCTTCAATATCAGGGAGTTTTCATGGCTTGAGCGCTTTATCATAACGCACGTTATTAAGAAACAATTATCGCAACAGCAGACTTCATTTCTTAGAAAAGCATTAAAAAACATATCAAAATTTTATTACACAATATATAATTATACGAATAAGATACTATGCATAAAATAATGCTCGCTTTTTTAATTCATTAATAATACACTTTTATGATGCTTTTATTCACTTTAATAGTTAAGCTTACATCCCGACATACAACGAAAACGTAAAATATATCAACAAATCGCTTCTTTCGAAACCGTGCTTCAAATCTTGACTAGGTAATGAAAAAAAAAAAAAAAAAAAAGTTAAATTCAACCCTTAAAATAATAACATAAAAAAGAAAAGTTAATTTTACTATTACTTCATTGCAGTTTTATTAGAATGAGTAAAAGATAATAATTGTATGGCAGGTTGAAAATTAATCAAATCACTTCATATTTTATTCTGCAGTATTAACGATTAATTCCAAAAACAAGTCACAAATCGTATAATAGATGTATTAAATCCTAATTTGAGTTTTATACTAAAAACAAATGGAAATTATTATTTTAAATAAAAAAATAAAATATTAAGAAATTCACTACCGCGTTGTTTATGAATGGCAACAGCTTAGAGATACGTCTGCTATGTTAACCGCTGAACTGAAATATCTTGCGTTAGTTATGTAATTTTTGTGTAATTGTATCTGCTTTGGTAATTAATCTTCTTAGTATATAATTACTTAGTTACCAAATGATATTTTATCAAGGCGTGTTTTAACCTGACCAAAAATGAATGTTTTACGACCCTTAAATAATTTTAAGACTTGTTTGTTTTCTAAACGATTGTACTCTTCAAAGATTGAAAATGCATCTAAACTTTCTGAAACTACTTGGGATATAATTATTTCTGGTGGTGGACTGGTTGGTTGTGCTCTAGCGTGCTCTCTCGGTAATATCATTATTTATTTTTTGATTATTTAAGAACAAGTTCTTATTTCATTAGCGCAGATTAATGAGTTCAATATGTCGTGCATTTTTGAAGACCAAATATTCAGCAACGAATTAAGACTCGTGCATGCTTCGCAATGTAAAATTCGTTATTTTCATTCACGCTGTGTGTAGGGGGTTAAGTTTATGTTACTGTTGTATATATTACGAAATAATTAATTTGTTCTTAAGCATATATAAATGTAAAAATAACGGGGAAAATAACTTTGGTGTTGATTTACGCCTAAGAAGATGTTCTGAGCTGAATCGTTTTTTTAATATTTTTGCATATAAAATATAGCATTTTTCAGCTTGTTAATGTTATATCACTGAATTGCGAATAAACCGAAGATCGTTTTCAGAAATTGTTGATTAAATGTTGCAGAACAAATTTTACTAATTGTTCCTTGTAAGAAATATACGAAGAAAGCAGTCCTGTAAAAGTACATAGTCACATTTCATTTCTGATGCCTTGAATTCTCACCCTCTCATGGCATGTTCCATTTACACACCATAAGAAACATCCTAAAAATCTTTGCAAGGTTTGTTCAAAATACAGAAAAAAGTCTCAAGCCCTTAGTGAATATGAATATTCTTTAGTGTTTTCTTAGTTCCAGCATACTTTAAAAAAGTATTAAACTGACATAAACTACTAGATACAAATTCTCAAATTGAAATAAAGCAAAATGAAGTATATTAATGTATATACTAACTTTTTTGTTCAGTTAACTTTTTGTATTTTTCAACATTAATGAATATTAACATTTTTTACATTTTCCCATTAATACTATTATCGTCTAAAAAGTTTTTTTGCATTACTTCTGCACTGCACCAGAAATTGCTCGCAATGCATCTAAAGTGTGAATGGGTCAAGGAAGAATGGTTGTTATTTTTTGCATGAATGCTGTTCATATTGATCGTGGAAGCTCAGTACTTGCATAATTTTTCAGATAGTTTTAGTTTATTTAATTATTTGGTTGATCTTTGGATTTTAGTAACTTGGCGAAAATTTGGCGACCAACTCTGCTACAGCAACCCGCTATTTTTTTTTTTTTTCGCCGCCAGACATGTTTCTTTTCTTTTTATTTACTGAACACCTTTTCCAACAATCTACTAGCCGAATTACACTTATGCTAGAAATTTTATGTAACAAAACTACTTAATCATGACAAATATTAACTGCAAAATTGGGAAAAAGTGCACAATCGCAAACTCCTTCCGCGTTTTTCAGAATACCTCATACACATAAACCATTTACACGTCGACTTATTTTTACTTAAAAAAACATCACAGCATTGCACAAAAATGGCATTGCACACACTCTTAACTTTATCCATCTACACTGCTATTTTCTCATAAATTACAAAAATTTGCACGAAAATGCAAAAAAATTCTGTGAATCTTTAAACTCAGTAAAAAGCACATATATGAAATTACCTGATCACGAAAAAGTATATACCCTTTCCAAGGATGAACATTTCCACGTATAAAATAAATAAAATATCCAAAAACTTTTACCTCTAAATTATCTATTATATTATAAACGTCACCAACGAATTCATACCTCAAACATTACAAAATTACAAATACTTAGTGTCAAATATTTAAATTATTTCCATGCACGTTTACTTCAACTGAAACGTGTACCAAATTCCTACAAACATTAAATTCACAAAATAACTATCATTTAATTAAAATATCACTAAACCATGTACACGTTGACTTCTTTTTACTTAAAAAAAATCCCAGAATTGCACAAAAATTTGCATTGCGCACACTCTTCACTATATCCATGTACACTGCTTTTTTCTCATAAATTAGAAAAATTTCACGAAAATGCAAGAAAATTTTGTGAATCTTTAAATCTGGTAAAAAGAGCATATATGAAATTACCTGATCGCGAAAAAGTATATACCCTTTCCAAAGATGAACATTTCCACGGGGAAGACTCAGATAACCGGCACTTGGTGCAATTTTTTCCGCCGTCTTTAATCGGCGAAAATCGCCAAATCCCAGAAGGATTTTTTTGACGCCAAGAGGGAAATAACCTTCAAAAGACGCTTTACAAAATTTCCCTCTTGAGCCCGATATAGGGGAGAAAACCGTGCTAGGCGAAAATCGCCTGAGGCTAAATACAGTAACGTGCTTGCGTTAAAAAAGGTAAACAATGCACATAGAACTAATTTAGTTATTGATGTGGTTAAGTTAATGTACTACTTTTTTCACCTTAGTATTTTAGATTATGATATATATATAACTCCAACATTATAACGTTTATACTTCTCTTTTTTAATTCTGACCATTAATTTCTACAATTATCCACAATAATAGTTAAATATGTTTAAAAATATGGTCTTCATATAAATGCAGTAAAGATCATGCAAATGGAATATTTATCACGCAAGTAACATTAAAAATTTTAAAGATCAAATATACATGAATTTGCTATTTAAAAAAAATAATACTTTCATTTCACACATTACATTTTATGTTCATGAACTAAACCGATCGTTATAGATTTATTTTTGCTCTTTATATTAAAATAACCTTATGTCAGCATTTTATATAGAATAAATAATTTATGTAAAAATATCCATTCACATTATAACAAATAATATAAATTAGATAAATCAGTT